GCAGAACTCAGGAGTCCCACAGGATTCCTGGGAATGGGGGACCTGTCCAAGGCCACGCTCCCCACCACAGGCTCAGGGCAGCTGTGCACCCCCAGATCAGATGTGGGCAGGCACAAACAGCCAGGCCAGCGCCAGAAGAGCATAAGTTACCTGTCAGGAAGGAGGAAAGAGACAGAGAAAAACATGGATACTGCTGCAGCTCAACACTGACAGTGATCCTCGACACTTTCTCTGCTCCTGATCCAGCCCTGGTTCACCCTCAAGGGCACATTTACACCCACAAAAGGCTTCAGATACCCTTTTGGATATGGGGCCATGGTGGAGAGCCCCTGGCACCCCTGCCAGCAGGAACCTGCTTCCCTCAGCCCGTCAGCTCCTGACTGGACATCTCCCACCAACTCCTTGAGCACCACAAAAGCCAAATGCTTTTTTTTTGTTGTTGTTATTGTTTCTGTGTGGCAAGCACATTCTCTCTCAGGATTTTTCATAAAGCTGCACAGAGGGAAGAAAGAGAGAACAATTTCAATTTCTGCTCCTTGTTTTTCCCATGTGGAATGTATTTGGAGAATTGTTTCCCTGGGGTGATTGCTTGATTGGATTCTGGTGAGGATTGTTTGAGCTGATGGCCAATCCAACCCACCTGGGGCTGGACTATGAAGTTGTGTTAGAGATCTAGTTAGAACAAGTAGGTCTGTAGCTTTTAGTATCTTCCTTTATATAGTATATTAATGTATTTTAAAATAATTATAATAAAGAAATCATTCAGCCTTCTGGATTGAGTCAGACATCCTCATCTCTTCCCATCGGGTTTGCCTGCATTTACAACATTTCTGCAGGACCCAAGGACTTGGGATACAACGTGTGGGGAAGCAGGGAATGGGGTGACCTATTCAGCCATGTCCCTGTTAGGACCTGCAGGGGCTGGATTAGGAACTCGACTCCAAAATGTCCTTTTCCCTGAGCACGAGGAGCTGAGCTGACTCCAGCCTCACCGCAGGACACTGGAAAAAAGCTGAGTTAGCAGGGCTGTGCTAATTACCCCCTGCGCGGCTCCTCCCAAACCTTTCGAGACTGTGAAATGGCCCATCTGCTGTGACAGAACTCGTTGTCTTAATCACACGACACGTTTGTGACATTCCACTCGGCCAAGAGCGAAGGAGGAGCTGCAGATGCTCAAAGGTGCCAGCTGGACCAGCTTTGGTGCTTCCCCAGGGGATAACTCGGGAAAAGGAGGTGGAAAAAATAAGGTTGGAACTGGAGCAACAGGGCACAGACGGCTCCGTTGTTTCTTAAAATTAAGTGTGGCCAAAGAGCCCCCATGTGGGATGAGGGATGTTGTGTGTGTTTAGCAAGAAAATCTTTTAACACATAAAATTCAGGTAGGTGGATGTGATGCTCCCACAGCCCAGCACATCTGGACGTCCCTGCTGGGTTTGGGATTGACTTTCCTGTCTCTGGGAGGATGAGGAGCCACACATTGCTGTGTTTGCTGGAGTTGGCCCTGTGCAAGGAGAAGGACCAACAGTCAGTTTTGTCAAGATTAGATAGAAATAAGAGGGGGGAAGAGCAAACTTTGGACAGCCATGGTTTGTTGGAGTCACCAGGGGCACGCAGGAATGGTGGAGATGGATGTTTGGCCCCACAGATCCCTCCCCAAGCTCAGAGCAGGCTGTGGGAAAAACCCAACAAACTCCAGCATCCTCTGTGCAATGAGAGGGAAATGCAGCTCCAAGGACATAAATTCTGGCAGGAGGAGGTGGACAGAGTGGGGAAAAGCGTGGGAAAGCAGTGGAGAAAGCAGGGGGGGAATCAGTGGGGCAGTGAGGTTGATGTCCCTGTGCCCAGGGTGTCACAAGAGGGACAGAGGTCTGTCTGTACTTACAGGCCACCAAGCCATGTCACTCCCAGCAGGAAAATATCCACTGATGGTGCTCCTGTTCACCCTGCAGGAAGACTGGGAGGAGGAAAGATCAGCACAGAGCACCCTTTCCCTAAAACCCAGACAAGTCACTAGGACCCAAGTCTCCCAGACAAGAAGCCAAGAGACAGGAGACTCGATAATTAATGGGAGCTCTGCAACTCGAGCTTAATTACATGAAACGGTGGCTGCACCCCAAGTACCCGGAGCCATGAATAGCAAAAGGAAGCACCTGGAGAGGGGGAAGCAGGGAGGATGTTCCTGTCCTAGTGCCATCCCCAGCAGACAGGCTGGCTAATAGGACACAGCTTTGGCCAGGGTTTTTCTGCAAGGCAGAATAAATGCAGTTGGAGAATCTTTATCTGAGGCTGCTCAGTGTTGAACCAGATGCCCTGATAACAGCAACAACACCCCGTAATAGACACGGGGCAGAGCTGCTCACACCCAGCAGACAGAGGCTGGGGGAGAGATGGTTAATTGGTTAATTCTGTGGTTAATTCTACCTTGCTCCCAGGCTACAGGAGCCTTTCCATGGGGGGTGAAAGGGGCAGAGGATTTATACAAAATGGAGCAAGTCACAGAATACCAGAATGGTTTGGATTGGAAGGGACTTTAAATTTTTCTTGCTCCAAACCCCTTCCACTGTCCCAGGTTGCTCTGTCCAGCCTGGCTTTGGACACTTCCAGGGATGGGGCAGTCACAGCTTCTCTGGGCACCCTGTGCCAGGGCCTCCCCACCCTCACAGGGAAGAATTTCTTCCCAATATCCCAGGTAACCCTGCCCTCTGTAGTGGGAAGCCATTCTCCCTTGTCCTGTCACTCCAGGCTCTTGTCCAAAGTTCCTCTCCAGCTCTCCTGGAGCCCCTTTAGGCACTGGAAGGGGCTCTAGGGTATCCCCCAGATCTCTCTCTTCTCCAGATGAACACCTCCAGCTCTCCCAGCCTGGCTCCACACAGCACAACACCCAAAATACACAAGTGAAAACAAGAAGAAAATAACAGAACTTTCAAATATTCCACGCAGAAAATATTCCAGCCCTGAAAAGTAAACCTATTCAAACAAGAAAACAGAAAGGAACAAAAGGGTCTTACCCATATTCCCATACCAAGGTTTAAGGAAAAATAAACCACTACAACAACAAGGTCAGAACGCTGAACTGCTGTGAGGGGGTAACAGATCAGGCAGTGGAATTTAACTCCTTCATTCCTCAGCCTCACAGGGTGACTGAATCAGTAACTCATTAGCAGCCCAGGGGCATTTATCATTAAACAGCCCAGCAGCAGGAATTGTGCTTCCAAAGGTGCCTGGGTGGGCAGCCCGGCCCCCACTGCTTCCCACCCCTCTCCACTCCCCAGGGAGCCAAAACCACCTGATTTTAGCGACCCACAAATGGGCAGGGTTGAAAAATGTCAGAGTGATGCCTCACGTGCTTCCCTCCCTTCCCATCACTCTAACACTGTCAATTTTTGACAATTATTGACTCTAACACTGTCAATAGCCAAAGGACCTGCAGCTCAGCCTTATGGATGCAGTTTGTTCCCAAATTCCTGAGCCCTCATCAATATCATAACTGCACTGCATGAAACCAGGCAAAGCTGGGGGTTTTCTGTGTTTTAAAGCAAAGATCAAACAGGAGTTGGGTGAACGGCTGAGGTGGAGCCTGGCATGGCAGCAAGGGCTGACCAGGAGAGACCCCCACAGAAGAGATCACAGAATCACGGAATCATTTGGCCTGGAAAAGTCCTCTTAAGATTATTGAGTCCAACCACTATTCCACATCTACTCTGCTTCTAAATCCCTGGTGATTCCACCACTGCTCTGGGCAGTCTGTGCCAATGCTTGACAACACTTCCCATGAGATTTTTCCTAATATCCAACCTAACCTCTCTCCCGGTGCAATTTGAGATTATTCCCCTTGCTCTGTCACTTGTTAACTGGGAGAAAAGACCAACCCCTCACCTGCACCCTCCTGTCAGGGAGCTGTGGGGAGAGGAAGACACAGCAATTCCTCTAAAGGCCAACAAGACAGGCACAGGAAATCACCTAAGAATCCCTTGTTTTGGGGTATTTAGCCATCAGTTTGCTGCACTGGACGTTTGTCTGGCTCATTCCCAAGTGGCAGCACACTTCCACAAGGTCTCACTGATAAAATAAACACAGTGCAGCTAATATGTCCATCACTGAGTCAAGTCAGCATTTCTCCTCTCTTTGAAGGAGCCGAGGCAGCACCGGGAGCAGCTCTGCACATCCTAGAGAGGAACTGACCTTCCCCCTCAGTGCTCAGCTGGAATTTGACCTGCATTAACACATCCAAAGTACCCACACGTGTCAATAAATCAGCCTGGTGTATCCATTAACATTAAGGAAAGCACCTGGTTTTACCCTTTTGAGTCAATGAACCCTCCAAAGTCCTTGGAAGTTTGTCTCCAACATAGAAATGGTGTCAACAAAGGTTAATTTTCACTTCTGAACACGCCAAAAGCTTTATACTCATTTGTAGGACGTGATGGAAAGATTAAACCAAACAGCCTCTGAATGCTCATCAATTCCACCAGTGTTTTCTCTGCAACAGGTGAAGAACTTGGGAGTCTCTGGGACTGGGAGCTGCTGCCTGGCAGCCAGCCGGCCATTCTACCCACACCTGCCCAAGGAAGGTTGGGAAAACAAACCTGGACAAGTTCAGCTCTGCACTATGGTGTATTTTTCAGCCCATCCACGCATTCAGGGCAGGCAAGAAACCTCAAAAAAAACCCCCAGCTTACCTGTGATGAGCTGGTTTGGATTTTACCAGCTGGAACCTACACCTCCTACAATATTCCCATATCACAGAGTCACAAAATGGTTTGGGTTGGGAAGGATGATCTCATTCCAAAATCTTGCCATGGGCAGGGACACCTTCCACTATCCCAGGTGGCTCCAAGCCCCATCCAAGCTGGCCTTGGACACTTCCAGGGATCCAGGGGCAGCCACAGCTTCTCTGGGAATCTGTGCCATGGTCTGAGCAAGTCTCTGTTGCTCCCTGACATCCACCTGCCATATTTAAGGACGCACAGTTTAGAAGACAAAGGACCAGCACATGAACATTTTTAGAAAGCTCACACAAAACAAGTCTTTATTCTTTGTTGCAGAAAATAAATACAGGTGCATATTCCATATGCTTTTCTATAAAAGCACTCCTACAAAATCACTGAACTGCATACAACAGTACAACCTTTTTGGCTTTTAAAATGCAAATATTATACAGTCACTTCATTTTATTATCATTTAAAGCACTTGTAGCAAGCAGCTTTGGAAAAGGAATGCTTAATTTAGAAGCCAAATTCTTGCCTCAAGTGTTTTGTGGGATTTTTCCATCGTGTATAGTGCAACTAACCTAAAAGCAACTAGAACAGTTTTTTGTAAAAGGTTTATTCCCACCAATCCCCCCCCCCCCAAAAAAAAAAAAACCCTGAAAAGGGGAAAAAATATTGTCTTAAAAACTGTTCTACCTTGATACTTAAACCAAGAAAAAACAAGAAGTGGCTCAATGGAAATATTAAGGTAAGCAGAATGCTTCACAGCTCGCTCTCTGTTTGATTCCAGTTTGGCCCGGGGTGTTTCTTTAGAGGAAGAAGCTTCTTTAATCATCCACTCCTATATTCCTGAAAAGGTAGGACATGGACTCCCCATTGTGGATCCTTCGAATGGCTTCTGACAGGATCATGCTGATATCCACAGTCTTGATTTTAGGGCACTGAAGTTTTTGTATTTCATGTGGAATTGTGTTTGTAACAACGACCTACAGGAAGAAGAAACGGTCAGGAAGACGTAGCTCTGTTGTTTTCCACCTTTTATACTGGAAGGGTGAGAGGGAGTTTTACAGATCCTACAAAACCACCCTGGCTGACAAAACAACATTTTACATTACTGTCAGGGTCACAATCTCAGGAAGAGCCATGTGTTGCCATAGGTTCCATGTATCCATGGATACTAATGGCACTGTCCCTCCTTCCTTTCATCCAGCCACACAGATCCAGAGGAGGTACAAAAACATCCCACCCACTGAAGAGAAAGGTGTGCTGATACTGACAATCCAGCATCCCACCACTTCCCACATTTCCCACTGCTCTGGTTTAAAAACATGTGGATGCTAATATTCCAGCACACAGTTCCATAGTAAGAAAGCCTGAACCAGGAACCTCCCATCTAAATCCTTAATGGCAGCATATGTCAACAATCAACTCAGGAGAAAATGGCTTGCTTAGAAAAGCCCCAGGTCACTTGATCAGAGCTCAGACTCCACACTCACTTCATCAATGGCAGACTCCTCGATCAGCCGGGGAGCATCTGAGGACAGCAGCCCATGGGTGGCCATGACAAAGATCTTGTAGGCCCCTCTCTCCTTGAGGGTCTCAGCTGCAGCCAGAAAGCTGTCAACGTCATCTATGATGTCATCCTGCCAAAATCCCAGAGTCACGGAGGGTTCACCGCATCAGACTGACAACACAGCTTTACCCAGTGTAGCAAACCCCAAACTACCAGAAAACTGTTACTTTCCTGACAAACCCAAACAAACTCTGCTTTAGAGAAAAGTGCATCAAGGAATGATAGAATGGCCTGGGTTGGAAGGGACCTTAAAGATCATCTCATTCCAAGCCATGCCATGGGCAGGGACACCTCCCATTAGACTTGGCTAACCGAAGTTCCACACAGCCTGGCCTTGAATGCTTCCAGGGACGGGGCAGCCACAGCTACCCTCCTAGGGAAAAATTTCTTCCTTATATCCAGTCTAAGCCTACTCCCCCGTAAGTCTGAAGCCATTCCCCCTTGTGCTGTCACTGCAGGCCCTTATAAATAGTCTCTCTCCATCTTTCTTGCAGGCTGTCCTCAGGTACTGGACAGGCACAATCAGGCCACCTCAGATCCTTCTCTTTTCCAGGCTGAACAATCCCAGTTCTCTCAGCCTTTCCTCACAGCAGAGCTGCTCCACCCCTCTGAGCGTCTTGGTGGCTTCCTCCAGACTTGTTCCAACAAGTCCAGGTCCATCAGCTCAGCTTCATTGGCATTTCTAAAGTCACCAGTAGGAAAAGGGTGATTCTCCCCTCCTCCAGTGTGTGCATGCAGGACCTGAGCCCCTTCAGGTAAGCACTGAACAGAATTTCACCTGCTCTGCTCATGGAAACAAGGTCCCAGTGCTGCTTCCAGAGTGGATCCCTGCAGAGCTCCCAGCCACCTTTGTGAGTGCTCAGTGCTGCCCCTTCCTATCAGAAGTCCACCAGCAACCAAAGTTTAGTGGCTGATACAGAACAGCCACTTGATTTCTGCAACTTGAACATGTTTAATATCATTTATGAGAACTGATGGCATCTCACTTACCACAATGATAGCTATTCTTCCTCCTACATCTCCAACTACTGTGATAGGTGGTTTTTCCTTGGGAATCAGCACTGATTAATGGCAGATGTTTTTAGAGGGCAAAAAGGAGAAAGAAAAGAGGAAGTTTATATAATTTATTTGAGCTATAGAATAGTCTGATGGGTCACCACTATTAGAGACATGAAGCAGCAACTATTTCAACATCACTACTGAATGAAAATCAGCAATAAACAATTTTTAAGCTTAATTAAAATATTAACTATATTAATTTATACCAATTCTTTACCAATTCAATTAATTCTTAATTTCAGCACAGAAGCAGAGTGGCTTGCAGACACAACCAGTGACCCATTGACACCCACGCTGGGTTTGTGCCCTGCAGTTCTGCTGGTGCAGCTGGAGGTCACATCCACATTCAAGCAAGAAGGAATCATCTTCTCCCCACTACGAAAGATTTTTTTTTTTCCTCTGTGAAGAACCACTCCTTTTAGACAGTCCATCTGTGCCAAACCCAATCCCTAAACCCACAAGAACACCAGGTAACACTTTCCCCCACAGACTTACTTACTGGGGATCTCCAGGCTGGGGTGGATAGCAGCGACGTATTTGGCTGTAGGAGGGGAGTGCCGACCGTCCACCATGTCAGACTCAGCATCCTGAGCTTCCCCGTGGATCACGGCGATTCCCAACCGCAAGCGCTCAGCAAACGACTGTGCCCTGCAGGGGAAGGGTTAAAAGCACCCAGGAAAAGGTTACAATTCAAATAACTCACCTGTCTGCAATCCTAGTTCCATCTTATTTCTAATGTTTCAGAGGGAAGTCAAACGATCCTAAAATTTTAGGAGAGTTCATGGAAGAAATTGGTTGCCCCTCAGTATCTTTTTTTAATCAGGTTTGTTAAAGTCAGAATAACCTTCAAAGTGCCCATATGGGCCTTAAAGCTACAAAATAAATGCTGCAAGTCACAAAATGCTGACTACTCCCTTCTGCTCTGCCTAACAGCCAAAATAACACTTCCCAGCCTTCAGCATCCTTGGGATCCCATGCTTTAGCAGGACACATCTAACAGTAATCAAGAGCAACCCTAATGTCTGGATTGTCAACATTTAATAGGAAAAAAAATACTCATATAAAAAGAGATAACAAGTGTTGACCTATTTATTTAGTACTAAATAAAGACAATATCCCTGACCTGCTGACACATAACCTGAGATAGCCTATGGAAAAGGGGATCCCGATGATCATTCTGCCTGACAAACCACACTTGGGAGTTGAACAGCTTGGATTTTTTAATTAGCTGACATGAAGTTCCTTCACACTGTGGTATTTCTTCAACTAAAATTAGAAATTTCTGTAAAGAAATGTAAGGTTAGTTGGGGGAGTGGGAAAAGCAAGAGACTCAGGAAAACAGGAATTTGCATCCCAGATATTGGAAGCAGCAAATACCAATTAGCACACCCATCCCACCTCACCTTGCACACCCAAGGGTTTGGGATCCTGCCTAATCCACCCATCCAAGCCTCCTCTGGTCCAAGCACATCCAGAGTGATTCACTCTGCTCTAACATCAGTACCTTAGACCAGTGCCTGAATCACCTCCTCTGTCCTTAAGCCTTATTTAACTATCCAAACAGTATAAAGTCCACAGAATGATTTGCCCATTGTGATACTCAGTTAATTAAAAAATAAGAATCTTCCACCCTGTGGTTATCCTACAGTTGCAATATTTTTGCAAGTAGTTAATTACAGGTAATTATTATTACAAACATTAAGAGCTATGACTTAACAGGAATAATCCTATCAATAAAACTGTATTAATTATCTTAAAATGCAGTATTAAACTGAATAAAGTTCAAAGTAAGAGCAAAATGTTTAATTTCCAGTGAGGTCAGAAACCACAGCGACATTCTGAACTTCACCACACAAGGGTTCTCTTTCACAAGCAGGCATTCATCAGAAGTATTTTCCTAGATTGTTTTCAGCCTGAATTAGGCTGAAACATCCAATAATCCTTCTCCCAATACAATGTAACTCTTCACATATTGTCTTTAAATACTCATAGGAACACGTGCAGAAGCTAAACAATACAGTTCTGGATCCTCGCATCTACAAATCACTGCATGATATGCAACTCATCTATTTGCTGGCAATTGATAATTACTGGATCAGCATTAAAATGGTGCAACAAACACTTGCCTCCACCCAAGAGGCAATACTGACACCATGGAAAAGAAATGCAAAAGAAACAAATGTAAAATTACCTGGCCAAAATAAAAGAAATCACAAAAAGTACTGTTGGAGAAAAAGATGACAAAAGGTGGTTTGTTACAGAAAATAAGGAAAACACGAAGTATAACAATTTATTGGCATGGAAGTCCATATATCTTCTCAACAAACTCTTGGTTTGTCACCACAGCAAAGACAGCATCTCTTAAACCACCATCCAGCTCTTACAGCACCTGCTGACAGCACTGTAATTCTAGAGTTTAGGAACAGTCAACTAAAAAGCTTCATGGATTAAGAACAGTCATTCAACCACCAAGGACTTCACAATCACAATCTTCTCAAACAACAAACCCAATTTCACCATCTGTGTTTAGGATCTGATCAGCCATGTTTGTAGTTATGCCCATGTTAAGAAACTCATCTGGATTAATGGCATTACACTTCCATCCACTCTTCCTCATTTACTGCAGGAGATTTATAATGGCAATGCACACAAAGATAACATGATTAAAAACCTTCTTAATCATAAGCACTGCACTGATTTACCACATCCTTTTGTATGTTTTTTTTTTTACTCTTCTTAGATGTATTATGATTACAGCAATGATGTAAAAACTACACAGCTGACAGAGGAGAATTGGGAGGGGGGTGAAGGCTGCATCTTCTAATTGTTGCCTATTTTCCTTCACTTGATCCTAGTAACAAAATCCCGACACAGATTTCCTGCTCTAAGGCAAGAGAGCAGATCTTACCCACCTCTTTGCAGATGCAGGAGATTTGGCCACAATTACAGCATTCCTGTAGTCTGGTATCTGTAGTAAATAACAGATAGCAATGTCCACTTCATATCTTTAGACAAATTTAAACTCAGTAAGAATCAGAGAACTTTATTTTGCCAGAAGAATTTTTTAAGCATCGAACATTTTACCTAAGGAAGCAACCTCAAGAATCCATGGTATATGATCAAGGTTGACAGCTCAGTAAAAACATGTATTTAGAAAATTCAGATATTAACTTCAAACCTTTTATAAACCCCATTTTATAGTACAGATAACAGAAAAGTAACTGCTTTGGACATCAGGGTTACACCCACAAGTGCTGAAAGAAACAGGAAACCATCAAAATTAAAGTTTCCTGTTCAACCTAAATTGTCTTTCATCACTAAAAACCAGCATTTTACAACTTCCTATTGTCTTATACAGTACCCCAAGAAAAGTCACACCTCTCCATCACATCACACTGACTCTTTCTCTGGACCATCAGAAGGGATAAAACTTCCACAGCCACTGCACTGATCCTGTAGGCAAAGTCTCACAGTGCTGCAAACTCTGCCATGCTGTCAGCACCAGGAGATGCTGCTGCAAACGCTGACAGCACCAGAGGGATGAGGCCAGCAAGTCTGGGTTTCCCTCTGATGTCTGACAGGTGCTTCAGTCAGGCTTCACAAGCACAATCTGCTCCTGAGTTTGCTGCCCCTGCCCCATTCTCACACTGGTTTTTCACTCCAGACTCCTGATCCCTATTTAACGAGCATTTTAGTCTCCATCTCTCAAAAGTTTCTTATTCTCATCTCCATTTTTCCTGCAAACAGTGACCCCACATCAGATTCATCTAACCTGTAACATTCCAAACATTCCAGCATTCACACTTTCAGTTCTTTCCAACAGCAGCTACAACTGCACTCTCTCTGGTATCTCATTTTACCCCACTCCTTGCAAACTCAGCCTTTTCCTTCCCTGTGCTGCCCTGGGATGATCCATCTCTATGGAGAGCAGCTTAAAGAGAACCTGTCTGTCCTTCCAGCCAAAAACCACAGTCCTGAGCCAAGCAAAGTCCTACAGAGCAGGTCCAGTCCTCAGAATCCCAGTGTTAAGGGATGGAAGACACTTCACTAAGTACCTGCAAACTGATCTGCTAGGGATGGAATTCACAGATTTGTGGGGATGACACCCTGTCATGCAGCTCACCACCTTGTCAGATGTCAAATACTCATTCCAGAGCACAGGAATACTTGGGGTTTCTGCAAACACAGGTAAAGTAAGTTCTTCCACAATCTTATTCACAATATACAAACTGCACTGGCTGATTATTTCCAAAACACTACCTGAAATAGGCATGGGGAAGAAAAAATAAGTTCTGAATTTGGGCAAGGGCTCAACCAACAGTAAGTAAGAAATTTACTGAGGACTTCAGGCAACGTTAATAATCCACAATGTTAGTAACTCCACCTATAAACTGGGAATTCAGCATGTTCTGTCCTCTGCAAACACTGAGTTATACAAGAGGCTACAAAGATTAACATGATGGAAGGTATGGACAAGGCAGGGCCTGTCACTCGACATAACAAAGGCTTTGATCTAGTTCAGACACCATTGCCTCATTTTTCCTCTGCCAAATTAACAAATTTGTTCTCAGCTCTTCAAAAATGAAGTCAGAAAGCCAGAAATGTCATCCCAAAGACTCTGAGGTGTCAACATGACCATGTAACAAAGGGCTGTGTCACTCTGGGATTAACACCTGCACAAGGGAAAGAGAAGCCACGAAGTATCCAACACTTGCAAGCACACAGAGGAAAACACCAAACTATTTTCATATCACAGGAATTTCACTGATTGGACTGGCTTCATGCCAGAACAGCAAGTGACTCTCTTCACATCTAGGCATATATTTCCAACAGGAAACAACTACAAGCCCTCATTCTCCTAACTTTCAGCGAAATGATTTTAAAGTGATTTTCATTCTCCTCAAGCTGGACTCCATTTTGCGCTCCTCAGTACATCCCATCATGATTCCCACAGCTTTGAAAGCTCTGGCATTCCCAGCACAGGATATCCAGTAAGTTGTGGCCAAGAGGAACTTGAGATGAATACTGAATTCCCCCTGAGCAGCAAAGTTTTAAGCACAGATATTATAAATTATCTGGCTGGTGAAGGTACTTGCCAGTACAGATCCCATGTGATCAAATCCATTCAGTTAATTCTGGTTTTAGAAAATCCCCTCATGGATGAGCAGAAGGATGAAGAACTGAAAGTATCTTTTAAAACGTCTTTACACATTCTTCAGATCTCTACATGGCTACTTTTTAGACAGTACAGCAGTGTCAGACTCAAAGCTGCAAAAATTCTGTGTAAACCATTAAAAGCTCAGGAATCACAATGTGCTTCAAGATCAAATCAGGACCATGATCTTGTTATTGACCATAAACCACAGTTTCAAGCAACACATAAAGGCAAAACTTGTCTTGTGTCTATGTATTTGGTTTTCTACGTCTGTTCTTATTTTAAGTCAGGAAGTGCTTACAATGTGCAATACTTCTTTCCTGAAACACAAGATGAATGACTGTGGCAAAGCCAGAGCCTGGAGTTTTGTTCTGCCATCCTCTTTGACTCTATTACCAAATGAAATTATAATGAGGCATTGAAGCAGATTTTAATACTGTCATAACACAATCATGTTGGTTTGGGTTTCTTTAAGGGGGTGGGGTGGGGTGTGTTTTGTTTTTTAAATTGAGGCATTCCTATCTTTATAAAAAGAAATAGCTTGGATTCAAAAGCAAGAGTGAGCTAAACCCTTTCTCTCACCAGGAAGAAAGCACTTGCTTTATTCCAAATTACCATTAGTCAGAGGCTTAACGTGCATCTTATACCTACAATTACCATTTGCACATTTTGTACAGGCCAATTTACCAGTAGCACTTCTCAAAACCCTTATAAAAATAAGATGGAGAAATGGAGGCACAGAACATCCCAAGTTAAGCTCCTCAAGTCAAGACATGCAGTCTGAACTAACAGTGAGTGAGATTTCCACCCACCAGCCTGACTTTCAGAGCACAATCAATAGGCTCTCTTATAGTTTACAATTTCCAAAGTGTTTCTTATTATGTGATTTAAATTTATACCCACACAAGCAGCCCATCCTATAAATGTCAAGGAAACGGGAAACAGAAAAGGAAGAGGACATTGAGAGCAAGAAAATCCTATTTTTTTTTTTTATATTGTAAGAGGAATATATCTAAGGGAATAAACAGCATTGCTGCATGGCTAAGAAAACACCAGCTCTTCAGGAAAGCAAATGTTAAATGTGGAGAAGAGAAGAACCAACAGCTCCCAACACCATTCCTGCCCCAACATGACCCTTCCCCCTTAAAATTCAGTTTGAAGAGTTTATCTTTTCAGAGGGATTTGTTTCAGATGCCCTGAGACATGACCAAAAAAAAATTTAAAAAAACAACTGTAATAATGGGCCTTCCTCACCTCTTCTTGGATGTACTGGAGTAAAAATGGGGATGCTCTCAAGTTATCTACTGGAATATTGAAGAAACCCTGAATTTCCTTCTGATGTAGATCCATAGTAATAAGATGAGTTAGTCCTTTAAAACAAAACAGATACACAGAGAAGCACATCAAGACAAGTAAGAGAGAACAGACACTTTATTTTTCTGTTTCACTGCAGTTTGTCCAGAAAATTTCTAAGCTGCATGAAAACACTAAAATAAAAATAAATTAATTTTAGTCCCTCTTAAGCACACTGGCATTAACATGTTTTGAGGCTTTTAAAGTGCCTTTTTGAAAAGAACCTCAGGACGCTGCCCATAATTGACTCTGCAGTGCCACACTGAGGCAGGAAGATCCTTCTCCACTGGACAGGGGACAAAATGGAAGCACTAATTTGTCCTGTGTCACACAGCAAGACCCTGGCATGCTCTTTTGTTCTGAACTCCTGAAAAAGGGGCCAAGCTCCTCATCAAAATCCACTTCTCTCAAAGTAACAGCCCAGATCCCACAGTTTGTTATAACTGCCTGCTTTTTCCCAGGGATGGGAGTGAAAAGAAAGAAGCAGAAAATGTGTTGAAGGCTGTGAAGATGAATAATCTCATTCTCCCACATGGTCTCAAATGTAAAGGACAAAGTGCATTCATCCAACAAGGAAAAAAAAGTAAAAAACAAGACAGAAATGACAAGGCACAACTGTTCCAGAGTGTAAAAAAGGCAAAGGATGATATTATGAGAGGTCCCAAAGCAGCTCAGCCCAGCAGACTCATTTTGCCAGCTCAGTACAACTCAATACAAAATGGTTGTAACAAATTTGGGTTTTTTATGAACTCATAATTTGGAAACATTTCTAATTACATTCTCCTTTTTACATAGGTTTTAAACACATGAAAAGCTTGGCAGTTACTTTTAAACAGAGTCCAAACTTGTGTATAGATCTCTCCAAACCTGTAAGCTGACAGCAGGAGCCCCCCTTGCTCTGATTTAAGGACAGCCACATTCTTACCAGCTTTGCACATCATGGAGGCCAGCAATTTGGAGACAATGGAGCCCCTTTTCCTCATCTTGCACTGTTTGCTGTAGGGGAAGTAAGGAATCACTCCAATAATGCTTTTGGCACAGGAGGTTTTGCATGCATACACCATGATCAGGAGCTCCATGATCGTGGTATTCACATCCCTGCAATGAGAAACATCTGTTTCTGTAGCTGGTGCATAAAAATCCTCTATTCACCACAGTATTTACACCCAGCAGAGATGGAGAGGGCACATTTTTAGAGAACTGGTCATCAAGTAAGATCTACATTTCTGCTGCCATTAAAAAAAAAGACTTAGCATTTGTAAAGTTATTTTCATATAAAATTAAAGAATTTCTGCATCACAGGACACATTGCCCAGGAAACGTTCCTCCTACATCTTAACTTTGTGATGGTGCTAGAGACAGGGAGCTGAGAAGAGAAGAATTTAGAGACTGACATAAGCAAAAGAATACTTAGGGAAGGAATGTAGAGACCAAGGGGAAGGTTTTATTGACAGAGTCACTAAAAATTAAAATTGTAGAAGCTACCTTATGCCAAAGCTGTCTTTGTGAACATATAAAAAACCCAACAAAACCAATACCAAAAACCTTCCACAAGCCTCTATCTAGTTCATATAAGCTTATCACACTGCATCACAAACACAAAAGGTGATTAAAAATGGAAACCAGAAGCATTGCTATGGACAGCCCACATCAAATGCTAGCACAGGGTCTTTAAACAGTTACTCACTTGGAAACTGTTTGGATGATAAATACATCCTTTCCTCTCACAGACTCCTGAATCTGCACTCGTGTTTCTGCCAAGAAAAGAAATATGTCATATTTGCAAGAGCAAAAACTCTTTTTAGAGTCTAAGAAAAGGGGAACTAATACATTCAAATCAGTGTCAGGTGCATTTCCAGTTTTGCTAATTAAATGCTCACCTCTGTTTGGCTCTTGATAAACCTGAACCTTCCCCATCTCAACTCCCAAGCGCCTGCAGGAACAGAAATAAGGTAGAAGTCAATAAGGGGAGAGGAAGGGCAAATCAAATGTAGATCCCATATAATGCAACAGTTACGGAAAAGGCTGCATTCCATGGGAAAGAAAGAAAATCCCAAACCATAAAACTAGTAATTACAGTGAACATCTCTTTAAAAAGCACCTACTATTTCCAAGAACTGCACTGCAGACTATGCTAAACTTATTTTCCAGTCAAGCTCACAAGAAGCAGCAGGGAAAAAAAAATGCTGGAATACTAAATCATGTAACACATTTTGTGATTTTTTATTTCTTGCGCTATATATATATATATATATATATATATATATATATATATATATACACACACACACACACATATGTGGCAACATACATGTGCACAATACTTAAAAATACTGCTTTTAAATCACTCTTCTCTATAGAAAAAAGCCAATGCAGAGTGAAGAGGAAAGAGTAGCAAGCACTATTCTATGGATAATGGAAGAATAATATCTGCTGTATTTATTCCTTGTCAGCATTAGCTAGACCTCATCACTACAAAGAGACCAGAGTATGCTCTGCACTCAGCCCAAACTCTTTCTACACATAACCTGAGTTCCTTTGCGCTCCCCTTTCTCCTTCTATCACACCTAACTTTGGGTAAATAAGGCTCTGGAAGAAATCCATCCTAATATTCCCAGTAATGTTATGCATCCTAATTAGCACAGTACTTTAAGTCCTAAAAGTTCTGCTACAGCTATTCATGGATTTAAGCTAAAGAAATGTTCCCATCCGAAATATAAAAAGACCAGGAGGGATGTAGTCTTCCTACCTAAAAATACCCCACTACAATGAGTGAAAACTTCTGCCATGATGATTTAACACGATGTAAACACTAATTATTCCACGTGTTTCCTATAAAATGCTGCAGCCAGCTGCGGAACAATTTAAATACAAATCATTCTCTCTGTTATTGAGCTGTTGAAATACACTTTCCAATAGAGCACACTCAATATTCTTGCAAATCATGGCAGTTTTCCCATGTCACTTTCCTTAAATAGGGAAGTGAAATGTGCAGTAAAACAAATCCCATCAGAATAACCCCAAGATGCAAGTTCCCTGCAGACTTTACTTACTCAGCAATCCTCTTGGACAGTTCCATGCATGAGGAATTGGAATTAGCTGAGAACAGCACCAGCCCACCCTTGGTGATATTCATGATGGCCCCAATTTCAGTTGATAGCACACAAAACATCAACCCTAAGTTGTTTTGCCGCTCCTAAAAGACTGCAAGAGGTCAAAGGTCATTTAAATTCATGTTTAAAAAACAAAGAAAAACAAGACATATTTTCTCTGTTTAGAAAGTGTAGTCTCCCAGAATCCTGGATATTCCTTAAAATCTGTTATCCCCATGTTAATAGCTTCCCTACAGCTCCCCAAAGATCCCCCAAGACAACCTTCTAGCACCGATTTTTTCTTCCTTTTTAACTGTTTTCCTCAGGCTATCATTCAGTAACACTGATAGTTTTATTCCATCAGCTTGTCCAGGTCATTTTCCAGAACTGAGCAAAGTTGATTGACTTCTCCAAAATCACAAAGACAGTCTGGGGTAGAATTAAGCCAAAAAGAGCTCCTGGGCCCTACCCAGAAGAGTCTATTTCCAAAGCTGAGTCTCTTCCCATTACTTTGCAGTAACTTAAAAACTTACAAATAAGGATGAAATGTAAGGAAGAATTCAGTGAAGCTGACAGCTGCAAATAATGACCTCTTGCACAGCAAATCCACTTGGTGAAGCAGCTGTTGTCATTCTTTGAAAGCAGTATTTCTCCTGTGAAAACACGAGAAAAACATCAGGAGGAGATCACTATAATTTGGTTTTCTTGTTTCAAATAAAGGCACAAACCACTAATCTCACCAAGGATTTGATGGGATATCATGTTTTTATTATTCTTTGTAAATTACATTTTCATGGTTACTTCTACTATAAAATTTTAGTCTAAAGGGGGAAAAAAAGATCACATTGACCAGCAGCCCTGGATAGATGGAAGCAGCATTCAGCTCAAAATCCTGCTGCACTTCACTTCTGCTGCATAAATAATCCAATCCCTCATCTCCATTTCAGCATTATGTAGGAGACTGGACATATGAAATATGAGTGGCATAATTTAAACCAAAGTAAACAGAAGTTACAGTGAAATCAGTAACTTCTTTCCTGGCAAACACCTCCCTGCTGAGAAACAGAATTATCTAAAATCACACGTATCTGGTTAGGAAAAGCTGATGATGTATCAACTATAAAGTACTCCAAAACAACAACTAAAAGAAAAAGAAGAGTTTTGTATTTACAGGAGCAGCTGGCTAGGTCTGTAATGAAACTCCTTCACACCTCCTTTACAATCAGACAGTCTGGCTCAGTTTAACTGTGTCAGAGGAACCCGATTCACTCTTGTGAAGAGCCAAAGTCAAGTCTTGTTAGGAACTTCCTAACAACAGATCTGCTGGTGCTGTGAGTAAAAACCTGCCTATCATCAGAACTGTGCACAGACTGAGCAGAAACAGTGACAGCTTCAGCCCCCATTCAGTCTGAATGTTTCACTGCACTAAAACCAGAGGGGCCTCCCATATCCCCAAAGCAAGACCTGCATCCCTCTCAAATGAAATACCTAAAAAAAAAAAAAACCTTTTCTTATCTAGTGTTTCTCTGCTCTGCTGCTCACTCACTCCCTGCAACTCCCAGCTGTCAACTAATGGCCATCACCTATCAAATATTCATGATGGTGTTCAAGATCCATCTCAGCTCCACCAGAGTGAACAACCTGAAATGCTTTTAGGTCTGAGAACACCACCTGAGAGCACCCTGCTTGTGTGCCTGGATGGAATAGCGAGGAGGCAACTTTCTGTGTTACTAAAAGTAGTCACAGAGTGTTCAGAAGGCGTGTTTTTATCCAGTTGTGTGTCTTCTTTGTTCCATAGATTAGGGAAATGAAGAGCTGATTAAGAGATCTGAAAAGATGAGTTGCTGGCTCCCAACTATTGCTGAGGGTGCACTTTACACCACAATACGATGATGTATTTACAAGCAACAGTTAACATTGCTCTTTATGTTATTATAGGTCAAGGGCTTTCTTGTGGATGTACTTCAGCAGCTGCAAGTGGGCTATGGTATGTGTGGGCAGGGAAGTTGCATTTCAGGAGTAATATGGATATATCAAACTTCAAACAGGTGTTGGGACAAAAGCAAGCTCACAAAACTTTATTAGATGTGCAAAGGCATGACTCCACAGGGATACATGGGACAATAACCTTTGGTTTGAGGTGGGCCAACCTTCCAAGATTGAACACAAGCACCACAGAACAGGCTGCAGCACAAACACCTGCCTTTCCGTCTGGGCTGCACACAATTACACATACACATCATGATGAGCACAATTACTGGGCACACATGGCTTTATGCTTCCATCAGCTGATGATGTCCACACAGAAAGCCACAGATGCAGGAATACCTGGACGGGATAAGGAACAGACCCCATGGGATGGAGGGAATCTGCACCCTCTCACCAATCTCCCCACAGGGAATCTTCCCGTCCCTCCACACTCACCAATCCGTGTGGGCGAACAGAGCCTGCCAGCCCACATCTCCCTAGCAGTGCTTCGGATGCTCCAGGTGTGTTCCACAGGCCCCGTGGATCCCATCCCATCCCATCCCTCCTCCCCGAGAGCGGCCCGGGCACGCCGCAGCCCCTCACCTGTGGGGCAGCCCCACAGCCCGAGCAACCCCGAAAAGGGGAGCCCAGGAGAGGGTCTCCATCCCCTGAGGGAAGGGCGACGCAGCCCATTCCTCAGGCGTCGGAACCCCGCGTGGGGAATGGGCACGTCCTGCCCTCACACAGCCGGCTGAACTGGGCTGAGCGGGCGGGAGCGCCCCTCGCTGAAGGCCTTACCTGCCGGCTCCGGCCCGCCGTCCCCGGGAGGAGAGAAAGCGGCGCGGCCGGAGGGGAAGGAGGGGGAGAGGCAGAGGAGGCGGCGGAGCTCAGCCCCTCCGGAGCTCCGCGGGCAAGATGGCGGCGGGCCGTGAGGGAGGGAGCGCGCGCGGGCGGGGCGGGCCCGAGGCGGTGCCGCCCCCCCCACCCCCCGCGTGAGGGGAGCCGGCGCCATCTTCCCCCTCACGGGCCGTGCTGCCCGTGGGCGGCGGGATGGGGTCACCGGGCGTTGGGGTTTTAGACTCGTCAATGTCAGAAGAGACCCGCAGGACCATCCACAGTCCGACTGTCAGCGCAGCAGCACCACGAAACTACATCGGGTGCCTCTTCCAACACCTCCAGGCAGCGTGACTCCACCACCTCCCTGGGTATCTATTCCAATGCCTGACCACATGGACAATGAAAATATTGTTTTCTAATATCTAATTTAAATCTCCCATGTGTCAGATTAAGGCCATTTCCAAGTCCAACCCACTCCTCACTACAACATCCTTTCAGGGAGTTGATGACAATGGTAAGGGCTTTGAGCACCCTCCAGAGTAAACAAACCCAGCTCAGCCATCCCTTATAAAATACATTTTCTAGACCCGTCATGAGCCTTGTCCTTTGCCGAAAAAGAGAAGTACACATCTGAGTCCCCAGCTGGGATGATGGGGGGGGACCCCAACACCACAATTCAGCTGCCGCCCCACCAAAAATTACCCCAGTGCAAAATCCATGTGGAATAACACAGTGATGTCCACAGGGTGTCATTATTTTGGAGCTCCCACATCTGCATCCCCACCAGAGAGGGATGGAAGGGCGGCTGTATCCTCGCCAGACACGGAGCTACCGTCTGGCCTTTGCCATCAGCAGTGTTTATAGAAAAAGAGGCATTTCTGCAAAGTAAATTAAGAACAGAAACTATCAGTGGCCTCTCAGTTCCTTGTCAAAAGCACACACGATTTTTCCGGAGTCCTCTCAGGACTTTCCTTGCCACGTGCACTGGTTGAACTGCACAAAGATTCATCTGACACCTGAAATGAATGAATGAGGCTCTTATTTCAGTCGCCCTGTTTAAAAAAAAAAAAAAAAAAAAAAAAAAAGCTTTGTCCCAAGACATCCATGACAAAACTGCTTTGGGGAAGCTACAGTCATCCCACACAGACATACATCCCTCCTTTAAATACAAAACCCAAACACTGTGTTTTTTCCCCTGACTGCACAGTTAGAACCTGTTTTAAATTACATTTTTCAGTACACCCAAGTTGAACAGCATTTTATGGATCAGAATTTTAGCATTTAGCATAAAGCTACAGATCAGGTACTTTCTCCTGCAGCTTTTCTCACAAAAAGCAATTTAATTTGATTATTTCTGGACTGCAGGGTGCACTGGAACAAAGCTGATCATCCCAGCAGATATTTCTGCCCACGCTGGCCTTAACATAAAAGAGGAGGAAAAGCCATAGGCAAGCTCATCAAACATGCCTAGGAATGGACAACATTAAATTAATTGTTTGAAACCATGTTTCTCCCTCTACAAGCTGCATTTTCCACTTTAAATATTCACAGGCCAGTGTTTTCCCCAGATTTCACATTTGTTTCTTGCTGCGTGCATTCCAAGACTTAGTTGTCTCTTTTTTTGATTGTTTTTTTCAGCAGAGCTGGAGCTGGAGAAGGAGAAGCCATTTAACGTGGAGCCGTGGAACAGATGTTGAGCACTCCACTTGTAGGCTCACAAAGCCAGGACATCTGTTAGAAATATGTGAGCAGAGAGGCCATTAAGCCTCTTAGATGCTGCCGTGATCCTCTGCCTTTCCTACATCCTCTTCCAAGTTACACTGAGGTGTAAGGGAATAGTCCCATCCCTCACCACCTCCACCATTCCCAGTCCATGTTTTTCTGCTTCCAGCCTGGTGCTTCCACACAGTTGATTCAGGATCATTGACCCAAGCAGGTTCTTTTTTTGTTTCAGGGTTTTCAGGACAAAAAGGAAGGGGGGTGAGCTTTTTGTTGGCCTCTTCACAGAGCAGCAGAGATTTCTCTTAGCATCAGCCTCCCTCGCAGGGTCCTGCTACAGGCTGGTGTGGCAGAGCAGTTTAACGCAGAACAACCAGAAACAACACATGGTGAAGCACTGACCCATAATGCAATTAGCAGCCTTCCCCAGAAGCATTTTTCAATACCCCAGGGCACTCAGAATTTGCTGACTGTTTGATTTGTGCTGCCCCAAATTCCTGACATTGCTTAAGAAAACCACAGGACCAGGAAATAAGTGATCCTGTCTTCCGATCCTTTTTTTATAAGGCTACTGCTTTTGTTTTCTTAGAGGAAAAAAATCAATTTCTTTCCCACCTCTGTCTTCCTGATCAGAGGAACACCAGTTTAAATCTCAGCTCCCAAGGGAGAGGGATTTGTTAATTTGACAATACTCTATTCAAACATCAAGAGTTCAACAAACACTTACTCCAAGATGAGCACACAGATTTTGTTTCATTTACAATGATTCAATTAGCAGCCATGTAAGGAATTCTGAAAATTTTCTGTGCGTGAAAACACTGGCTCACAGAGGTTTGTTGTTCTTACTCCAGATGTGACCCTGGCAAGCAGGGATGTGCAAGTCCCACACCACACCTAGTCCAGCCAAGGTGAAGGGCACTGCTCACCCTGCACTGGGCTGGGCGACAGCCTGCATCCATCACCTGAGAGAAAATAAATGCTGCTGTCATCCCAGCTCCTGAGCTCCATCCATCACTGCTCAACCAGGCTGGCTTTTGTTTGTTTGTTTGGAGTTGTTTCTGTTAAAAAAAAAAAAAAAAGTGGATATTAAAGCTCACCTACCAAACCAGCTGACAGTGAGAGCTATCAGACATGGTGCACCAAAGAAACACTCCGATTTCATCTTGACAGAGCCCTGGGGATAGGTTTGGTCTCTCCCAACAAATAAAGGCATCCCAAAAACATCCTCTATCCCTACACAGCCCCTGTGAGCCCACAGGGAAGTTCTGCAGCACACAGACACCCCCACACTGAGCACAGACCAAAAGCCATCACCTCCCTACTCCCCTGCCTTCAGCTTTATCACCTGAGGGACAACTGTGTCCAATTTCCAGAAGATTCTGCCACGGATACTACCCAGCTAGGGAGGCAGAACTCAAAACAACTATCAATGCATTTTGCAGTTGATGGAGGGAGGTGTAATGTTATCATATCTTGGGAATGATCTGGAAATAGCATTCCCCATGCCTGGGCAGCAAAGTGCTTTTAATAAAGGTCCTGGAGCAGGGAACACATCTTCTCTGTGTGAAGGGCTGTGGCAGACAGCACTCATTGCTTTATCAAATATTACTGCTTGGCTGGCTGTGGGAAACAGGCACAGACTCATTTGTCACAGACCTGTTCCCCCTGAGTCACAAAGCTCCGACTGAAGGACTCCCTTCAGGTTTTTTTTTTCCTGTTTCCAACTGTGCTCCCAGTTCTGGGTTAGTCTGTGGTGTTTAACAGATCTGCTGCATCACCTCCAGCACAGACACGGGATTATCTCCAACCAGCCTCCCAACAAGGGGACAAGAGGTTTCTGGGAACATCTGGAGCGTGACAGGTCCTGCACAGACAGACAGCTTGAGCTGGATATCAGACTGAGGGTTTGGGCAAACACAAAGCCGGCGGTGGTGCCTCTTGTTTAGTTCTCAGATTCTCTCTGCTCTGCTGTGCGAGGGCAGCTCTGTGCTGCAAAGTCTGTGTAAGATCCTGTTCACACCCATCACCTGGTGTTTACAGGTGTGGTTTGCCCTTTGATTGGCCTTTAGGCAAAATTGGTTGGACTGCACAGTGAAATCACGTCATTTTAGGGAATTTGAACAGCTACATAGTCCATGACAAACATTAATTAGTGCTCTGTTTCTCTTTGTCTAGTGCTCTGTTAGTCTTTGTCCTAGCAGCTGAGTCCCAGCATGATTTGCCATTTGCCTCACTAAGCTGCAGCTCCTGTCCAAAGAGCACACAGGCACCATGCCCTGTGCAGGCATTCAGTGAGCACAGCAAGGGCTTGACTGGGTCACTGCAGAGCAGCTTTGCAGATTAAAGCAGAATTCAGTGTATGAGAGCAGGCTCTATGCTTTGCATGCACAACTGTGGGGTGCAAAGAAAGATTTGGTACCAGCCTTGGCCCATACACTAAAAAGGAGCTGGAAGAGGTGTAGAGTATTGTGTGTCCTCCCCAGTTTGGTTCCAACCAGGACCAGCAAGAGCAGATTAATGCTCTTAATGGGAGTGGGACCCTCATCCAGCTGCTACGCCAAAAAAAGGCTGAGCCTTACTCAGGACTCTTCAGCCTAGCCCACTTACTGACAGTACTACCAACATCTCCCTCACAGAGAAGCTTCCTACCAGAACCTCTCCTCTAATTCACTGCATTATTTCCTGCCTGATTTCAGCTACCTCTGGAAGAGGTTCTGCTCTCAGACCCCTGTGCACTACCTTTGACCTTATCAAACAAGTCAATCCCACAAGTTCGAGATTGGGACACTTAAAAATTTTACTCACCAGAGGAGAGGCGTGGGGACTGTGAGGCTTCCCAGAGGCTTTTATTGTCTCATTAAGCTCTTCTTAATGAGCATTTCCTCACCTGCTGCAATGTCCCTCCCATTCATTTGCATTCACTATTCTGCTGATGGTACTCATGGCTGTCTTAGCTCCCACTCCTTCCTCTTTCCTCCTAACTATTCTGAGCCCATTTTTTATCTCCCTGATCTCATCCAGGTCCCAATACTTTCTCCTCTTTTGTTATTTCTTGCCACATCCTCCTTGGCTGGTTTCCTCCCTGACATCTGTGCAGCTTCTCCCAGCTCCAGAGTTCACCTGCAACAGTCTCTCCTCCAAAGCAAGGCAGCGACAGCTGCTCGTGGTGAGATCCCTGACGTAAATGCTGGCTAAAAACTTACTTGTTTTCTCAGCTAAGGCTCCCCATGCACAGCCCGGAGCTCACACACCTCAGTGCCTGGACCCCGAGCCCCGCAGTGGCTGTGCCCATCCCAGCGCGCTGTTTGTAGGGGCGGGGATGTGGGATCGGCCCCTCTGCAGGACCAATGAGGCTCACACCAGCAGGGCAGTGGGTTCAGCGCCTTTCTCAATGACTGCAAACACTGGGGGTGTTCAGGCTGTTCCACTCCTCCCGTGGCATCTGAAAGAGCCTTGCCAGCAGAGCTGCGTCAGAGGGAGCAACAGCTGCCAAAGCAGCCGTTCAGCCTCCTCTGATTGCCTGCTGGAAAGTATTTCCCCCTTTTTTTCATTCAAGCTTTTCTGGATAAGTATATGGCAAATGGAAATATCAGAGAGAATAAACTGCCTCCTAGTTGGAAATGAGGGACTGACAATTATCCCCGTGATAATGAGATAGTCTGAACATGAGGGAACTCGATACAATGGGGGATTTATCTTGGAAGCAGTCCCTTGGCAGCCTGGCCTGCCTTGCTGTCAGCACGGTTTCCCATTGCACAAAGGGCAGGGATCAGATCCAGGATGACAAATCCATCTCTATCCCAAGCTCATCCTCCTCCATTGCCTACAGCTTTTTTAGATCATCCAGGCACTCCTTTTCACTTAAACTACATTGTCCCATGCAAATCTGTACCCACCTTGGATCTCCAAATAACCCAGAAAATTGGTTTCTTTCCTAGCAGAAACCAGGTCAACATTTCAAATCCTGACCTTCAAGGCTGCCAGGATTGAAGAGAGAGGCAAGATGGGAGTTCAAGGCCTTGGTCCAACACTCAACAGATACTCCTGTCATAAGGAATTATGTGGACTCTGCAAAAAGATAAGGAAAACCAGCAAGAGCAAACGTGGGTCTGCAAAACCTTGACATGGCAATCGATGCTATAGTTTACCACCAGGAGCAAGTAAATAGCCCCAAGAGTTACATGCTGCATAGCAAACATTGCAGTTTTATCTGCACGACAGGCAGCAATTTGTGGCAAAGGTTAAATCTCAGTTCACTCAAGCTTGACATATGATGGTTGTGTTACATTCCCCGTTCTCAGTGGGTTTGTGCATAAATGTGAGGTTAAGTGCATGTGTGCCTTTAGGATCACGACCTGCATGGTCTAGCAGGCCTATAATTAAAGCCCAACATGTTCAAGTGACAGCTCTCATTCGTAATGCCATCCATGCAGAGCACTGAGGTACGTGGAAATTCCTACAACCCAGCTGGGAGTCAGAGATTCTCCAGCCACTGGAGCAGGGAGCCTCTGAGGCAGGTTTCTGACAGGATGAACAGGACAATTGGTAGGTTGGACTAATTTACAGGTAAATTGGGTAGGGCAGGAGAGGGAGGTGTGATACAGTCACTGCTCGCTCAGCTGCCGAGGATGGGCTGGGAATGACAACAGTGCTACACAACCAACAGTTTCTACTCACAAATATGTCAGAGTCCCAGAGGCTTATGAAGCCTGTAAGAAAGTCCCCACCTTCATCCTGGACAGCTTGCAAACATGAAGCTTGGCTAGACTCAGCTCAGCCACTTGTTCTTTCTTCTTCCAGTCACTGTTTTTCAGATGTACCCAAAGGTCTGAAACCCAACAATAAACCAAAACCATGGTCTGGCAATCAGATCCATGTGCCCCAGGCAAATCCTCACACCCAGGTCATGTCCTGTCTGCCTCATTCATTAAAGCTGCTGCTAATACCAGTGGTTTGTTTCCAAATTCTAGATATTTAATCTTTTTATCTGCTTGTTCTGTTACCAAAGATGAACCTGCTTGGTCAGGTTGGATCAAGTGTTTTATCTCACAGGCAACACAACAGGCTGGGTATGTTTTACACAAGTTTATTGGGGGGTTAATATTCATTCACCAACAGCACAAAGTATCAGATCTGTGCTATTTAAGGGCTGGGAACATGTCAAACACAAACAGAGACCAGCATTGCTCAGAAATACATCAAATCTGAGTAACAGCAGCATGACTACTGATTTGTCCTGTCTGAGGAGAAAAAAGAGTGTCTTACTCACCATTCCCTTCCCTACAAAAATACATACAGCCATTGCATTTAACCCTCTTTTAATAAAGGGTCCATACACAAGAGTCAAAAGGCACAAGGAGTAAAATGCTGCTACTTTGACCCACCTTGCTGCAGCTGCAGAGAGTTCTTCCATCCCCATTGTGGGTTAAATCATAGCATATTTGAGATACCTCCAAAACATGAAATCACACCTCGCTAGCATGCGCAGCCCTTCGCAGTCCCCAGTTCCATGATTTGAGCTCTGAAATGAGGGAAAATGCAGAGAAAAGAACAGCCCCTTCCACACCAGCAGCTGCTCAGACCCTTGGGACCTCCACTTCCGAAGCTGACCTGGACTTGCGCCGGCTGGTCAGGCTGCCCAGGACCGACTCCTCGCTGAAGGCCCCTTCGAAGGTCGACAGGATGGACTGGCGAAACTTCTCCTTGAAATCCGGCCCCACAAAGACATACAGGATGGGGTTGATGCAGCTGTTGAAGAAAGCAAGGCTGGAAACCAAGGGGATCCCTATGTAAAGGGCCAGTTTCATCTCATGGCTGGAAGAGTTTTTGGATATTTCCAGCAAGGAGAAGACGTGATAGGGGAAATAACAGAGGAAAAACGAGACTGTGACAGCAATGATGATTCTGTAGGGCTTTGCAGAGTTGGCCAACTGCCTCCTTTTCAGCTTGACAGCCACGACGCTGTAGCAGATGAGAATCACCAGGAAGGGGATGAGGAACCCACATAAGAATCGCGTGACGATCATCGCTTTGTGCCGCATCCTCCACAGCCTGCGCGTTGCCTCCGACGCGTAGTCATCGGACAGCGCGAAATTATTGTAACAGCTGGTGACGTTCCTGGAACTGAGCACCGTGTCCCGAAAGACCAGGTACGGGGAGCTGAGCAGCACAGCCAGGAGCCACGTCCCCAGAGCGATCCTGGCCGCCAGCTCCGGGCTCCTGCGGTTGTGACACCAGACGGGAAAGGCCACGGAAACGCAGCGGTCGATGCTGATGACCGTCAGGAGGAAGACGCTGGCAAACATGTTGAGGAAGGCGATGGTGCTGTTCAGTTTGCACAGGAGCTTCCCAAACGGCCAGTGGAAGCCCAGGGCGGTGTAGGCGATGCTGAGGGGCAGGAAAAAGGTAAAGATGAAATCAGCTATGGCCAGGTTGAGGAACCAGATGGAATTCACCGTCTTCTTCATCTTGAAGCCTGCAATCCAAATGACGAGGCCGTTCCCTGTCACCCCCAGCAAACAGGCAATGCTGTACACCACCATGGAGAGGATGTGCATGGTCTTCTGCAGCCCAGAGTAGTAGTCATGGCCAGTGGCATTCTCAGGCTGCTCCGTGGGGCAGCTGGCAGAGAAGGAGGAAGGGGAAGGAGAGGTGCTGTCCATCACTCGCAAGCCAAGACCTGAAATCACAACAGAGTTGCTATCTGCTACTCAAGAGAGGTGAAAATCTTTGCAAGCAACTGTACACAAAATGTGTATGAAAAGCCAAACTAGATAAATTAATTTATAATTAATATTAAGTCCTTCTCTATAGCATGTGCAGCTGCACCTCACAGAAACCATCTCGACTGGAGAAACCTACCCCTTTTTCGGTGTTGGTGTCAGTGTGTCAGAGCAACACCTTCATCACCAGCCCACAGCAGCAATCCAGCATGGACCACAAGCAAAACCATGGACACCTCCACCCCACTGTGACCAATCCTCCTTGGATGACCAGTTACAAATTATGACAGCAAAAACTATCTAGACTGGTAACGATGATGTTAACAGACTATTCCTCACCAAGCCCCTTCCAGGGAGGTGCAGAAGAACACCTGAGCTGTATCCAAGTGTAACCATAGGCCCTTTACACACCCACTACCCTCTGGTGACCCTTCTCATCTCTCTCCTGCCCATGCTGGCACTTGCCTTGGCAGATCCTGGCGGGGCTCCTGTGCTGTTCCTTGGCTGCTCTGCCCACAGCGGGCGGTCTCACCCTCCTAACTGATCCCCCTTGTGCTGCTCCTCTCCAGGGTGACTCAACTCTGCCTCGCCCCATTTTCCTATGGCTTGGGATCACGAGGAATTTAGTAGGATCACTTATTCCCTCATCTTCTTCCTCAATTTCTGGTGTGTTCATTTAACCCCTGAAGCCCCAGAGAGGGCAGGTTCCCTGGGGCCAGTTGGCCAAGCCCACCCACTAACTCGGATTTGATCAATGGAGAAAACACAGCCCCTCTCCTGCCTGTGCCATTCATCCTCTTGGCTGTTCTCCCTCCTGAGCACCCCAAAATCCCTCCGGGCTCTGGGGCGCCCTGCCACGAGCAGGGACAGGGCCAGCTCTGCTCCCCACAGCAGCAGCAACGTGCCCAGGCTGTGCCAGGGCCTGGCACACTCACTCTCCTGGGGACAGACTTCACAGTCTTGGCTGGGGGGTTTTGGAGGTGCCAGGAAATGCTCCCTGCACGCTGCGGGGTGTTGGGGTGTCTCATCCTTGGGTTCATGGGGTGGGACACTGGGAACACTGCAGGGATGGGGGAGAAGCACCTGGGAGTGCACGGCAGGTAGGGCTGGAGTGTGGGTGACGGCAGAGCAGGGGTGGCAGCAAGGGGTGACGACAGAGGAGGGGTGACAGAGGAGGGCTGGCAGCAGAGGAGGGGTGGCAGAGGAGGGCTGGCAGCAGAGGAGGGGTGACAGCAGAGGAGGGGTGACAGAGGAGGGCTGGCAGCAGAGGACTGGCAGCGGCAGGGTGACAGCAGAGGAGGGCTGGCAGCAGAGGAGGGGTGGCAGAGGAGGGCTGGCAGCAGAGGAGGGGTGACAGAGGAGGGGTGACAGAGGAGGGGTGGCAGAGGAGGGGTGGCAGCAGAGGAGGGGTGACAGAGGAGGGCTGACACAGGAGAGGTGACAGCGGCGCGGTGACGGCGGCGGTCCCGCCCTCCCGGCCCGGCCAAGGTCACCGCGCCACGTGCGGGTCGCGCCGCCAGCCCCGCCCCGGCGCGGGCCAATGGGAGGCGGGGAGGGGGCGGAGCGCGGCGCTGATTGGCCCAGGCGCTTCCCGAGCGTATTGCCGCCGCCGGAGCGGGGGCGGAGCGCGGCGCTGATTGGTCGCGGCGCGGAGGGGGCGGGGCCAGGCCGGGCTATGGAAGCGCGCGGGATCCCGCGTGGGAACGGAACCGGGAGCGGGTAAGGAACGGGACAGGAACGGGACAGGGACAGGAACGGGACAGGGACCGGAACAGGGACCGGGAAAGGAACGGGACAGGAACGGGAACGGGACAGGGACCGGGACAGGGATAGGGAACGGGACAGGGATAGGGACCGGGACAGAAACGGGACAGGGACCGGGACAGGGACAGGAACGGGACAGGAACGGGACAGAAACGGGGAAAGGAACGGGACAGGAACGGGACAGGGACCGGCACAGGAACGGGGAAAGGAACGGGACAGAAACGGGACAGGGACCGGGACAGGAACGGGGACAGGAACGGGGACAGGGACAGGAACGGGACAGGGACCGGGACAGGAACGGGACAGGAACGGGACATGGGGACAGGAACGGGACAGGGACAGGAACGGGGACAGGGACAGGAACGGGGACAGGAACGGGGACAGGAACGGGACAGGAACAGGACAGGAACGGGGACAGGGACCGGGACAGGAACGGGACAGGAACGGGAACGGGGACAGGGACCGGGACAGGAATGGGGACAGGGGTAGGGATAGGGACCGGGACAGGGATCAGGACCGGGGCAGGGATCGGGACCAGGACCAGGACAGGCACTCGGGATGTGGGAGGTGATGGAGTCGGGATACAGGGGCTGCAGAACTAGGTGGAGATAGAGCTTCAGGGATGGAGTCCTCCAGGTGAGGTGCCAGGTGTCCACCATGGTCGGGGGGGGGTTTATCCGGACTGGAATGGCAGCTCTGTCCCCCCTGAGCCAGAGCCAGCGAGTGAGAGTGCTGCAGCACACTGTGCTGGGGGGACATGCAGGACCTGCATCCTGCTCAGGGCCAGAGCACCGAGCTTGGGCCAGAGCAGGGCTGAGCATCCCTGCCCAGCAAGGGCGGCGTGAATGGACTTTGGCAGCTTGGCACAAGGAAACCGTGTGGGGTTGCTTAATAACCATCCTTGCGGGGTTAATGAGTAAAAAGATGCATTGTTTTCTGCCAAGGCAGCAGCTGGGCTGTTACTCCTTCCCCAAGAGCAGCAGTGGCATCAACTGGGCCAGAGAGCTCCTGCAGGCCTGGGCATCACCCATGCCAAGCAGAGGCAGAGCTGCTGCCTCTCAGCGCCTCTCAGCTCCACAAGATGCTTCAGGCAGGGTTTGGGGCAGGACTCTGACCTGCTGGGGTCTTGCCAAGGGAAAGCAGCCAAGAGGTTTAAGTGCTGGGCATCACAGCGTGTGTTAAAATTGAGATCTGTGGGTATGAGCACTTCACTGCCCTTGAAATTCAACATCAGGCACTGCCGAGCTGGGCAGGGGGAGCTCAGGGAGGGGTGGTGATGGGAGAGTATCAGACATTATCAAAGCACAGTAATTAACAAACTGATCTTAAATCAGCAGGGGAAGCCTGAGGGTTGTGTGTGTCTTCCTCACCCAACAGCCCACGGCTGTTCTCAGGGAATGCATGGGATGGCAGCAGGCAGCACACAGGGAGATGTGGAGGCACCCAGCCCTGCTGCCATCCCACAGACTCCCTGCTCCCCTGGCAGGTGACTCAGAGGCAGCAGCAGCACCATGGCGAGCTCAACACAGGGCCTCCCCAGCGCCGAGCTCTGGGCCTCCCATAACAAGATGGTGATGGAGCCGCTGGACACCAACGACCCAGAGGTGAGAGCCCCTTCCTGGCTCCTGCCAGCTGCTTCATTCCTCCCCCAGCCAGCCCTGGGCATGCTGACCTTGTCAAGCCAAGGACGTGGCAGGGTCCAAGGCTGAGCTGCTGGAACCCATCCATCCTCTGTGCCCTCTCTGTGACTGGTTGGGATCAGCTGCACAAAGAAGGGATCACATCTCTGCTCTCCAGCACCTTTCCAGGCCTCTCTCCAAGCCCAGTCTGTGTGGTGGAGCATCCACATCTCCATGCAGAGCCAGCACGGCTGTAGCCATTTCTCTCCTCTCCCAAAGGTGCACAGCATCATCAAGAAGGAGAAGCAGCGGCAGAGGATGGGGCTGGAGTTAATTGCGTCGGAGAACTTCGCCAGCCGAGCAGTCCTGGAGGCCCTGGGATCCTGCATGAACAACAAATACTCGGAGGGTTACCCAGGACAGAGGTATGGGGCTGGGGCTAAGGCCCACCAACCCAAACCCTTGCAGGGAGGGAGAGAAACCCCCATCCTGCCTCAGGGAAGGAAGCAGTGTCCTTATGCCAGCAGCCAGGCTCTTGTAGACAGGCTCTGACCTTCTCAGCCTCTGTCCTTGGCCATACACGGGACAGTCCCAGCAGGGTCACGTCTGCTGTGGCTGCACAAAAGGGGCATCACACCCCGGTTTCTCCCCAGCTTGGTCACAGCCCTGTGTTCTGAGGAACGAGTTTGGTGTTACCCCTGCCCTGTCCTTTACTGCAGGTACTACGGCGGGACGGAGTTTGTGGACCAGCTGGAAAGGCTGTGCCAGAAGCGAGCCCTGCAGGCTTACCAGCTCGACCCCCAGAAGTGGGGAGTCAATGTCCAGCCCTACTCAGGTATTGGGGTGCTCAGGAGAGCCAGGATGTTTTGCCCAGGCCCCTGTGTGCCCCAGCATTCATAACCAGCCCGTGCGCTCTCGCTGCAGGGTCACCCGCAAACTTTGCGGTGTACACGGCCCTGGTGGAGCCCCACGGCAGGATCATGGGGCTGGACCTGCCCGACGGTGGCCACCTCACCCACGGCTTCATGACGGACAAGAAGAAGATTTCTGCCACCTCTCTGTTCTTCGAGTCCATGCCCTACAAGGTGGGGAGCTGCTCCAGCCACAGCCAGGGTGCAGTTATGCTAAGTGTTGGCACCTCTTAAGTTTAAAAGTACCAGCATCAGGCTGCCAGCACTCTCCCCTGCAGGACAGCACTGCAGCTGATATTCACCACAGAGATTCAGAGATGGTGAACCCTCCTCTTCCTCTCCCAGGTCAACCCCAAGACTGGTTACATCGACTATGACAAGCTGGAGGAGAATGCCCGGCTCTTCCACCCCAAGCTGATCATAGCAGGTAAGGATCACTCACCCCTGTACCTGTGGCACAGCCGGGGTGGGGGTGCCTCCCTGAAGCCAGCAGCACCCCTGTAAGCTCATGTGTGCTTCCCCCCCTCACGCAGCCCCCCGAATAATCCGACTAGCTCAGAGATAAGGGGCTGTGAGGGGAGGAATATCAGGAGAAGGGTAAAGATATTCAGAAGAGGCTCTTAACCCAGGAGAAGTTGGTGCAGCTCTCTTTATTCTGTGATGTCCATGTGGAGAGCAGGGCAAAAAAGAACAGGAAATGTCAGGGGGTCTATATAGGTTTTGGACAGGGTGGGCTTTCCTGGCTCTCTGCCAACCCCATTGGGGCAGGAAGGAGGGTCCAGGGGTTATCTTGATCAGAGTCACAAGGTCCCGGGGAAGGGGGGCACAGGGTGCCCATGAGCTCACTGGAACACTCATGGATGGACACAACTGCAGGCTGGTCCTGGGGGCTGTGGCAGGGTCCTGCACATCTGCTCCTGTCCCCGCAGGTGTCAGCTGCTACTCGCGGAACCTGGACTACGCCCGCATGCGGAAGATCGCCGACGACAACGGGGCCTACCTCATGGCCGACATGGCCCACATCAGCGGGCTGGTGGCCGCCGGCGTGGTGCCCTCGCCCTTCGAGCACTGCGACATCGTCTCCACCACCACCCACAAGACCCTGCGGGGCTGCAGGGCCGGCATGATCTTCTACCGCAAAGGTGCCCGACCTGCCGGGAGGAACGCTGCAAGTTAACGCTCCTCCCTGCTCTGACTGCGAAGGAGGGAGGGCAGAAAGATCCTGGGAGTGTCTGGGGAGCTTCCCCGGGCTCAGATTTGAAGAGGCACAACCACTGTGCCTGCTGTGAGCAGCCAGGGGGTGAAAGCAGCTCGTGGAAGGGTGGCTGTGCTGCCTTGTCACCGTGTCCTCCTTGTCTGCAGGCACCCGCAGCGTGGACCCCAAGACAGGCAAGGAGACCCTCTACAACCTGGAGAGCCTCATCAACCAGGCGGTGTTCCCGGGGCTGCAGGGAGGCCCACACAACCACGCCATTGCAGGTATGTAGCCAGGCTGGCTGCCAGCTCCAGCATGGCACAGGGAGCTGGCAAAGGTGTCCTGGCAGGGCTCTGACCCCCCAGCAGCAGCACAGAAGGCTTCAGGTGCCCTACAGGGCTCACAGCCTGCGGACTCTGTGGCAAAAGGCAGCTGGTTGATCCAGCATTGCCCAAGGAGTGACCAAGTGTTCTATCCTGTGTTTTGGCTCAAGAAATGCCACCGGCCTGGTGAGGGGAAAGGAAGGATCAGTCCATTAGTTTGTTCAGCTCCAGTATGGCTTCTGCTGGCAGTGCCATTGCTGGTGGGAGCCCCCCAAATCTGAGCCTGGCCTGCCTCTATCCACAGGAATCGCCGTGGCGCTGCATCAGGCCATGACACCCGAGTTCAAGGCTTACCAGCAGCAGGTGGTGGCCAACTGCAAGGCACTCTCATCAGCACTGATGGAGATGGGCTATGACATCGTCACAGGTGAGGACACGTCTCGGCAGTGGGACAGGGCTGACCCTGGGGTCTGACCAGGGCAGCTCTTCAAGGACACCATGGTCAGGGCTCTGTTGGCCAATTCCTCACTCCTTGTCACATCTCAAGTCTTCTTTTGGCGAAGTTTCCTGCGGGAGCAGCACTTCCCCAGTCCCACCAACCCCCTCTCTTTGCAGGGGGCTCTGACAATCACCTGATCCTCGTGGACCTGCGCAGCAAAGGCACAGACGGCGGCCGGGCCGAGCGGGTGCTGGAGCTCTGCTCCATCGCCTGCAACAAGAACACGTGTCCTGGTGAGAGATGCCACAAGCTCTGCCAGCTCCTGGTGCGCTCCGGGAGCCAGGCTGGAGTCCCACGGGCTTGGTGGGTTTGGTGACTGTGTCCTTGTGCCGCAGGTGATGTCAGTGCCCTGCGGCCCAGCGGACTCCGTTTCGGCACGCCGGCTCTCACCTCGCGCGGCTTCCGGCAGGACGATTTCCGCAAGGTGGCCCAGTACATCCACAGAGGTGAGCCAGGCTCGGCTCCAGCACCAGCCTGGGACAGGGCAGCTCCCCGGGGTGAGGAGGCACCAGCTGAGCCACGCTGGAGCCATCGGCACCAGTGAGGAATAATCATCCTACCTCCACATCTGGATGTGGGGGAGGGCATTGGCCACAGCTGGGACCAAACTCTCCCCACTGCACAGGCAGTGGGCTGAAAGGCTGTCCCTCTCGCAGTTTTCTGCCACTTGTCCTCAGGAGTTCCAAGTTGTTTCCCTGGGCAGCAAGTTCCTCATGGGAAGGAGGGAGGGAGCAGGGCTGTGTCCCAGGGAGCAGCAGGGCTGGGACAGCCGTGGGAGGCAGCAGCTGCGAGGGCTGACCAAGACATCTCCCATCCTGGCAGGGATCGAGCTGGCTCTGCGTGTGCAGAAGGACATGAGCCCCAAGGCCACGCTGAAGGAATTCAAGGACAAATTGGAGGACCCAAAATACCGTGGGGAGCTGAAGGCACTGAAGGAAGAGGTGGAGGCCTTCGCAGGCACGTTCCCGCTCCCGGGGCTGCCTGTCCTGTAAGGGGACACAGCCATACCCACTCCCAGAGGCACGGGAGTACCCGGGATCGTGGCACACCCACAGTCCCCAGCCTGAGACCAACACCCCAGTGCCTTCTCCCACCACTTCCCTGTAGAACTGCAGCAGCAGCTCCTCCTTGGGCTCTTACTCCCCTTTCCCCTCCCATGGGGGGCACAGGGACCCCATGAGTACAAGAGTACAACCCCTGTGGGGACACCAGCCCTTCACCACTGTGTCACCACTGGCACCGAGCACAGGACAGCCTCACCTCATGGCCAGGTGCCATCCAGCTCCTGCTGGCTGTGGAGCAGCAGATGAGATTTAGGCTGGGCTGTCCACATTCCCTGGACACCCTGCCCGTAGCAATGTGAGGGACAGGGGCTCCAGCTGCACAAGGAACCTCACAGCCACTAAACGTCCCCCTGGTTTCAGCCTCCAGGATTCCCCTTCATCCTATGTGCCTTGCCACCTCCACAGGCTACAACAAGGCCAAGCCTTGTCCTGAACATCCCTCCTGGGATCACCGTCCCATCCTCAGATCCTCCAGTATTTTCTGACCCCTTGGCACAAAGCTTAGGTTGAACCATTTTTTAATCAGCATGGTAAAATTAAGAATTTAACCACGACGTATGACAAGAATTATAAGCTTTAAAAAATACGACCAATATTTTTTTTTCTTTTTTTTTGTATTTCAAAAATATCTGAACCCAAATAAATATTTTTTTTTTTTAAAAGTACATTTCTCAGACTAGTCATTTGGTGTTAACATCTGTTAAACTCTTGTGCAGTAACACTTACAGCACGACACTAAGACATGCTTCTTGGATTTCTCCCGGTCACACTCGCCCTAACTACTGACGCAAGCATTCGGCACGCACAGGCACACACACGGAACTCAACATGCAGGAATAGGATACAGTGCTTTTAAAATAAGATGAGAATTCATCACAGCCTCCTGGCAGCCTTCAGAGGCAGCTCTGAGCCCGGCAGGACCGGGTACCTGCTTCTGCCTTCCAGTTAAATCCCTCTCAGGGAGCAGCGGGCGGGGGGTTGTGACCCCTCCAACATTGGGGTGCAGTTTGGTGCTCTGACATTGTGCTCTGGGGCAGATGTTCTCCTCCTGCAGCCTGGGCAGCTCCCTGAATTCCCTGTCACAGGAGCCTTCTCACTGTGCTGCTACAAGCCCTGGGTGCCCAGCTCCTGGAATCTGCAGCGTGGGCTGGTCCCCACCACCAGACCAGGGGGTTCAGGACCCTCACACTCAATAAAAGCCAAAGAACTGGTCTGGGGGCACAGAGCCATCAGCTCCCACCCCTGGAGTGCCTGTCCCACCATGGTGAATATTGCTAGAGGATAGGCAGCTC